GGGGGGGGGGGGGCTAAAATCACTCTAGGCGCAGAAGATAAGGTTTTTGACGATTTTTTTCTGAAAGTACATGCAATGCCGAGAATTTTGCAGTCTCGTTTGCATTTCTGCACCTTTCTGAACCGGACTTACGATTTTTTAAAAACTGGCCTATTTTGAACTTTGACCGAGAATAACTCGAGAACGAAAAGTCGTAGCGACCTCCGGTTTGCGCCAAAAAGTTTCTTATTTTATTACCTTTCCAACGATGTATCACAAGAGGGGGGTTACTATTTGAAAATTTCGAGTTAGTGTGCGCCCCCCCCCAAATTTTGGATGTGCCAAAAAGTAGTTCTTATTGATCTAGGAGCATCTCCAAAATTTCGTTTCGATACAAGCATGTGTTCAAAAGTTAGAGGGGGGGCCGGGGACTTTTCGCTCACCCTGTATAGATTACTTGGTATTTTGCGGGTCCATTTCCCATTCCATATTTCATTTGACACCAGATTTTGGGGAAATTGCCAAAGTTTCAAACAAATGTTCTTCTCTATTTAATCACCTCTAGAGAAGTGTTCCAAAGAGTTTCCTACAAAATTCTGTTTCAAAATCAGGTCGAATTTATTTTAAGCGCAAGTGGGTACGTTTTCATTTGTTTTCAGAGCAACTGAATTTTATTGAAGTAAACTGGAACACTTCGGCGTGAAAACTTTATGGGAGGCTCCATCTTCCGATTAGATGAAAGTACTCATTGTGAAACGTAACATAGAATAGAGTGACCGTATTTGAATCAAAAGGAACTGTCTACATTGTAATTTGGGTTCTGTAACCCATCATTGGGTGGAAATAGGGGGCTGTGAGACCTGACCCCCCCCCTCCACTCCCACCCCCAAAAAGTCTTCTTGATTCCTCCCAAGAAATATGAAGAAGTTTGCTAAGTGCATGACATATCGACGGTGAAACTACCATTCCACGTATGTCGTTTGCAGTGTTTAAAAATCTCCGCTCCTAATTTAATTATGTTTTAAAGGAGAACGAAACAATATAATTTCTTGAAATTTTCACAAAGTTTTCTTCGCACAGAGAGGAAAAACAGGGAAGTTTTCAAGAATTAGCTTTGAGTAGTTTTCCATTAAAAAGATCAAGTATGAAAGGAAATCTACAGCGTCGCAAACCGAGATACGTGATCTGGTAGGTACTTTCACCGTCGATATGCTTCATCTTGAAAGTTGAAGTTGGATCAATTTTTTGGTGAGAATAGCTCAAAATAATTGCTCCTGAGACGACATAATTTTTCAAAATTTTCCGTCGTTGGTCACAAAGTAAAAAGAGAAAATTGTTCTTAAGAAACTTCATATCACGAGCATAATTTGTTCTCCTTTCTCTTTTTTTGGCTGCAAATTTTGGTTGATATTGAGTGATTTTAGTCCTGATTTATCCCTTTCCGAGCGAATTTATTATCTTCTTCCAACGAAAAGCTCTGAAGCCTCCCTCAGAGAGAATTCTCCTTTGGTCCTTTCTGTGGCCGCACCTCGGAATTTCATCGACACGGGGTTATAAAAGGAGAGTATACTACATATGAGACAAACCTTAGATAAAAGTTCCAGTTTTACTTCAAAGCTATAATTAAAGGTACAGCGCGCAGCGTCGCCAAATTTACATCGGTTGCCAATGAAAATGTCTACCCTGGTAAACATTGGCGATAGGAGCTGCGTTTCAAAATACCATAGGAGTTCTTACAGCCGACTAAAGAAGGCTATTAAAAATCATATAGCTGGCTGTAGAAAGCGGAGCAAATCATATAGCCGGGCTATACGAAGCTATAAAAAAGTATACAGTCGGGCTGTAGTTCCTATCGCCGGGCTTTACTTTTTATCGCCATTGGCTATAAAAGGCTCTAAGAAAATGTGTAGAAATTCGTGTGCTTTGGAAATCATTAAGTTTGATACGGAACTACCTTAATATTTACAAAACACACATTATATTTTCCTTTAAAACATGTTTTTTTTCATCAATTAAAATTAGAATAGTCCATACAGAGTGTGCAAACATTTCAAAATCATGAGTTGAAAAACGCTGACTCCGCAAGATTAAATATTAGAGCCTAACACAAAGCGGAGCGGCGACGCACTGGCGCCTACAAACCTAACAGGGATACTTCACGCATTGCGCAATGCGTGAAGTATCCCTGTTAGGTTTGAAGGCGCCAATGCGCGTTTTGCGCTCTCTGCCCGCCCGGCGCGCCGCAGCGTGCCACGGCGTCTGAAGCAACTGTTTCACACCAGAGGTATTGCACAGTATCATAAGAAATTGAAGGCTCTCCAACATATTAAGAATGACAGGCATCCTTCAAAAGTACGGAGCTTTCCTCACAAAATAAATCAAGATACAACGGCACAAAAAGAGAGCGGTTGTCCAAAAACTAACTAAGTCCTAGTATCCGTATTTAGTAACGTTTAGCATAAACGTTATCGTCTGGCTGTTGCTTAATCGGCTATAAAAGGCTATAAAAAATTGTACAACCGGCTACAGAAGCTATTGGAAATCTTTCAGCCAGCTTTAGGTCTATAGTATTTTGGAACACACATTCTACTGCCAATTTTTACCAGGCTATATCGACGGTGTAAGTCGACAATTACATAACTCTATTTGCGACGTCGTCGCAGACTTCCTGTCTTACTTTATTTTTTAAACGAAAAACTACTCAACGGCAATTCTTTAAAACTGCCGTGATTTTTCTTCTCTGTGCGGAGAAAATTTCGTATAAACTTCAAGGAATGATGTCAATTTTTTCTCCTTTAAAAAAATAACATAGAGACGGAGATTTTGAGACAACGCAAACGAGGTATGTGATTGCGGACTTACGCCGTCGATATGTATTTTCATACGTTTAAAATTTAAACTTTGCATCACCGTATCGCCAAAAGTAGCTGAAAATTCGAACCAATAATTCAAACGGAAGCTCTTTTAAGGACAACGTCTCATTTCAGCAACGCGTCGATAAAATTCTCGCATTCCAAAAAATTTACTATGGGGAGCCTCTCCCCCTCCCGCCCGTCTTGTCCTGAACCATTCTTGCTTGGATAGACTGCTATTTGGACGTATTTCTATCAAATGGAACTATGTGCATTATGACGTGAGCCCTATTATGCATGTATTCTCATGGAGCTCGGGGCTCATGTCTCAGTGCACATAGTTCTGTTTGATATAAATACGTCCATTTAATGGCTGTGCCGTTCGATCATATCGCTGTCAAATACTGCCGCCCCTGAAAAGCGCGGCAAATCGATCGATATCAGCACAGTCCATTAGTCTTGGGTGGAATCATCGAATGTATCGAATAGAATGACGTAGTCACCGGATTGATCCATCGAGAGTGCATCGCATTAGTTCTATCGTGGGGAAAATCAAGAGCATAGTCCGGACGGCACCTCTGCGTTCCGGTCCGTTGCCGGTTTTAATATGGAGCAGTGGCCAAGGAGAAGGGGAACGGGAGGAAATTCGGACCAAATTCAACACTACTCCTGTGATCTCGCTCGGTAGAAAATCCCCCTGAAAAACTGGAAAAAGATGAAATGTTTTTCAATTTCCTTCGGGATTGCACAGAATACACGATTAAGTGCTCCTGCGGGCTGATTATTGAAATTGATAGACAAAGCTGTAGACAAAGAAGACATAAGGAGTATGGAACGATCCTATTGGTCAAAATGGTTGGTCCCTATGGACTAAGGGAGAAAACGATGGACCAACTATCGGGTCTCCCGTGGGTTGCCGTTAATTAGTCTATTACCTACCTTCTTTGTCTATTGCAATCACTCGCTTCCACCAACAGGATCCCTCTAAATCCCTTTTGTGATCTTTGTCTATAGCATTGTCTATCAATTTCAAAAATCGGCCTGCTGGTCTCCCATGGTTCGTCATTAGGATCCGGGATCTGTGCAACATGACTGTCTCTCATTCATCCTAGCACTGAATTCAGTTTAGGTCAAAAGGGGTACTGCCATGCACAATTAATTGAGGTACAATCACAATTAATTGGAAATGTCCGAGTTGGTATTTAACCCCCACCATTTTTTTCCGTGGTGCTTTCAAACCATACCTAATTACAGAAAAAGCTCGGTTGTAGGAACCGAGGGCACGGTTCCTAAAACCAAGGATACAGTTCTCAAAAACCAACGTTACAATGACATGAACCGAAGAGCGCGGCCGATATGGAACACCATACTTACAATCTCATAAGTTCTTCGTTTTTATCAGGGTTCATGTTTCTATTCTTTATGGAAAAAAGTTACCTTGTTCCCCTGATGTCCCGGCAGTGATGTTTTGTTTTACGATTGTTGTTTTCGATTATTTATTTTGTAAAAGAAAGAATCGGAAAAGAAGATCTGCAGATGGGAGGAAATCTCCCAAACTGGCCATGGTCTATCAAAAATGAAACATCACAACCAGGACGTCAGGGGAAAAAGGTAACTTTTTCCATAAAAATAGAAACATGAACCCTGATAAAAATGAAGAACCTAGGAGATCGTAAGTATGATGTTCTATATCGGCCGCGCTCTTCGGTTCATAACTGTAACCGTGGTTTTAGGAACCGTATCCTTGGTTTTAGGAACCGAGCTTTTTCTATAGTTAGGTATGGTTTGAAAGCACCACGGAAAAAAGCGGTGGGGGTTCAGTCCCAACTTGGAAATTTCCAATTAATGTTGATTGTACTTACAGCTCGCATGATCAAACTTTTTCTTCAAATATTTTCATTTTCACCGGGCTTGGAACTTACTGTGAGTCGGGTGGGAGTACTCCGCGGTTGCCACGCGGAACAAAAAAATCCATCAACTTTCCAGTAAAACAGCGGAAAGCGTTACGGATCGGCAACACGAGTACGGTACTTGCGGGAGTATCTCCGCGGGGCGGGAGCCCCGGGTCGACGCCGACGAGCGATCAGTAGCGTCGCGACCGGAATCAGTCTCAGAATCAGAATCGGAGTGAGGAGTGGCTCCTGGTTTTCGGATTCCCGCAGTGATCAGTGTGGCGGTTCCGTCGCGTTCTCGATCCCGCGGCGAGCGGGCCGGTGATTGATCGTGAGTTGCAAGTGCAGTACCGTTTCCGAGCAAAACTGGAGCAACTCCCGCCCGTGCACTCCTGGTTTTTTTTCGGCGCTTGGATAACTCATTCCCGATCCATTCAGGTGCGGCTTTCTTTCTTATCCGAGATGTCTAACTTAAGTTACTTAAGTGTTAAGTGTTAAGTTACTTAAGTAACTTAAGTGTCACATGAGGCTACTAGCTCCAAAGTGTAAAATTTCCATAAAAGTGGTTTGTCACAAAAACGCAAAAAACTGTTTTGAGGTTGCTGCGTTTTGCTGCGACCTACCTTTTTAACACCGCTAATTGGACGTATTTCTGCCAAACGGAACTATTTGCATTGACACATGAGCCCTGAGACCTATAAGAACATATGCATAACAGGGCTCTCGTCATAATGCACATCATAGTTCCGTTTGGCAGAAATACGTCCAATTAAAAAGGATTTTGGCTGTTTTGACACACAATTAAATTATTTTCCGATTCTCTTCTATTGGCTGTTCGAGAATCCACTCCAAACTCAATTTTCGACCAAAATGGACATTATACACTTTGGAAGTAGTAGCCTCACATTTGAAGGGCTTGGAGGACAAGGCGCGTAAAAGCACTTTTTGAAAACATTGAAATATTCATGATTTCGAGTAAAACTAGTCTTAATACATATTCTGTGGAAAATTCGCTCCCAAATTCCACTTTGAAGCATCAAAAAGTCAGTTTGAACTTTCTTTTCGCCATAAGGTCATAAGGATCCAGGTAATGTCGAAACTTCAAACACGTATTTCTCGGAATAGTAAAGACTGCACTTATATGCGCCTTGTCCTTCAAGCCCTTCATTTGATTGATAAGAAAAGTGATAAGAATCGAGCAAACATATGGATCCAGGCAATCTGGAAAAAAGAGGTAGGATAATATGGGCATTTCCAATTAATTATGATCGTGCCCCAATAAAGTAGGTTACCAACCCAAATGTTGCAGTACTACCACAATTGATTGGAAATGACCATATCATCCAACAAATCGAGGTACTACTACAAATTGAAGATAATCCCTTTAACACTTGTTTTCACCGTGAACATGTGCCGTATCAGGTGAATCTACAGGTGTCTAAGAGTTAAAGGCAAATATTTTCAATATAGCTTCGTGGGATGAAAATGACATTTTTGTGTTTCATGACGTTTTCTCAAGAAATCCCAATTTTCAGAGTTAAATTTTGGGCCAAAATATCGTTTTTCCTGTTCGTGACGACAGTTGTTAAGGATGAAAATGCAACAAAATTAACAGTTCTGTGTTCTTTTACCAGCTGAACACATTTTTGACTTCACAGATATCGAAATCATACGTTAAGCGGAGATTTGGCGGAGGGGCTGTAACTTTAAGGGGTTTTTTTGGCGGGGGGAGGGGGATTTTACTTTTAAAGTATTATATTCTGATCCCTAAAATCGATGCTGAAAATACCCGCATTTAATTTACGGACAGGCTGCAGGTATAGCGGCAGTGAGCATAGTTGAAAATAAGTTGTGAATGGTCGATAAGATCAATAATTTTCCTGATGGTAGACACTTTCCAGGAACTTTCAGTAATATTACGGTGTATTCGGTACTTATTTACTGTTCCTTGTGAACCAGTTTGTGGAATTAGCCAGAGAAAGTTGCGAAAAGTCTGTATAACCAGTAGACTTTTCTCAGGGATTTATTTATTTTTCACCAGTGAGAAATGCTGCAGGGATAAAATGCCACAAGACAGTACCAGGAACTTTAAGCTTTAAACTCCATTATTCTCTTTCAATGTTTTACGAAGAACGTGGTTGGCACGATGCAATTTTTACAATTCTCCTCTTTAGAGAGGAAATTAGCATTTTCCCTGTTCGTAAATCTGAAGCTCCTCTTGCCGGGAAACCACACTTTACCTTCATAGAATTGCTGTTGGGTGTAAGTGCTTTACGTTGAAATAATTTTCTTAGTGTGCTGATTATTACTAGAAAAGCGCACAAAGCATTAAAGATTAGAGAAGGAGAAAAATTGTTCTGAACGCAACTCTAAATTCATTCGGCGAAAAATACGAGGTCGTCTTCGTTTTGACCGAGTTGAACAGAGGAGAGCTCCCTGTGAGTAGAGAGATTAACTTTACCAATTCAATGTAAACATAAAACTCTCATCTCTTATTTACGAGTAATTTTGACATTTTTTAATGTTTATACCACGTGTTCGGGGAGAAATTCTGAAGAGCGTGAAACGTGTCCCTAACGAAAGGAGGACCAAGGTTGATGTTGTCCCCAGGAACGGAAAGACATCCGGTTATTTAGAGTTCCGGATCGGGTATAGCTGACACTACATAAAGTTCACAAGCAAGAATGGATGTACGGGAATGTTTACATGCAACAAGGCCAACTGCGCAACACAGCGTAGAGTATCATGATAAAATAAAGGCGTTTTTAAGGCGTAATCGAGCTCCTTTGAGCATTACCGGTTAAATTTTCACTATGTCTACGTGTATTATTGCGATTCATTGAAATAATTTGCAAGCAACTCGCTGCGACTGCGACATAAATAATGACAGATTTTGAACTTCTCCAATGAAAACTTTGAGCTTTGACCTCTCTCTCATAAGTTGATTTTGACCTCTTTTTTAACAATTCCATGATTTTTGTATGAAATTATGATGAGAGAACATATCTTAAAGTGTTCTTGCACAATGTCCGACAGTAGTTCATTGTTCGGAGAAACTTTGCAATATCACGATGCAATGAAACCCATCTCGCTATGAATCCTTCAATTATCGCAGACATTCTGCCGGTAATCGAATTTACACAGGTCATTATGCGTGTACAGCCTATTCTTCTACATACTCATGCTTGCCATCAGTGGCAGTGATTTTATCACTCGGTTTGTCTTTTTCTTCTCGTCACTGCAAGATCTGCGGCAAGGACAAGCCATATGAATCAGTCGACGTTAATATCAAACATGTCTACCATCTGATGGCCCCTAAAATGCAGGTATTCATATAGGACTTAGGGCTCATCAAAAAGCAAACATGTTGGGTTCATTCATATAATCCTCTGATTGGCTAATTTCTCCTCATCTTTCTCTCACTCCTTTCCCCGTTTTTTCCCAGCCTTTCGAGGCGGCACGTCTAGGCGCGGGAACCTAACTTATTGTTTCCCAGACGAAAGAACGGAACTACATTTCAACGTTGCAAAATGACCATTCGCCAATTGCACTTTTTCCAGGAAACTGCCGAGCGTTTCTGCCTTAAAATTTCACCGGTTTTTCGGCTCATTACATGCAAAAATTAGCAACATTTTGGACAAAAATCACACAGTCAAATTCTATAGTCAATTCTGTGGTATTGTTTTACACATGAAACATTCCGATTTGTCTCCCCATTCGTTTCTCGGCATTCACGATTTTTTAACGTAAGATTCTCAGACTTTGCTTATTCACAGCTTTTAAACTGGTAAATAGTAAAGTTTACAAGTATGGAAATTTGTACTTAAACAACTTGTGAAGTCGTATAGAGCTCAAGAATTTCGCGTGAAAATCGAATTTTTTTAAGTCAATTTTGCAACCTTGGAATGGAGTTACGCTCTTTCATCCAAGTAACGGGTGCCTATCGCCTCCTCCTCATAGTCAGCTCCGGAAACACTGATTGCCGTTCTCATGCGCTTCGACCGCACTTGGCCCGTCAAACTTTAGGGCTAATTACCACGTTGGTGTGCACGTGTCTGTCTCGAGGCGGCCTAATTACGGAATAATCGAAAGAAATGTAGAATCTAAGACTCGAAAAAGAAAGAGTATCGTGATTCGGCCCAATGGTAAGTTTTCCAATCATGGTTGATTCGCAAGGTCGATATGATCTGCAGCCTGATTGTTGAAATTGTGTGTTTGTCGGGTGGACATAGATGACATACGTTAAATGGCGAGGCGTGATTGGTCGGCTGTTTCTTATATCGATACTTTGTCGTGTTTTGTCGGGTTGAGTGGACGAAATACTGTCGGAAACTCACATGGATAACTCACGTAAATAATGTGGTGAAGGAACTTAATTTTTTTACGTTTGTCTCTTGAAAAAATTACTACATTGATGTTTCCCTCATAGATTTTTAACAATATTTTTTTGGTAAAGAAAAAATTATTGTTACTATAAGGATGCCTGTTTAAATGGCAATATACCTGGTCCTCGCTGCCGTATTACGGGAGAGAATATTGAACGCAAAAATGAAGTTTCGAGAAAGTGGACTTAGCAGTGGCCGAGCTCGAAAGCCTTTTGAACAACCCAGATAAGACAGGAATATTTAGCCAATATTTAAACAATATTGTTTTGGTATTTATGCAAACATTGGGTCAATATTGGTTAAATATTGAGCCAATGTTAAAAGTGTACACCATCTTTCCTTTTGGCATAAATACTGTGCCAATACTTTGGCTGAGAATACTGTGCCAGTACTTCAAAGGGAAAGTATTTGGATATCAATATTGAGACAATACTACACCAATATTGAATCAATTTAGGGGTTCGCAGCTAGGGGATGGTGGAAAAGGGTTAATTGTGGAAATAATTTTAGAAACCATGAAAAATAAAAATAATGAAACCACTGGGATGTTATTGAATCGATTTTGCAGATTAGAAATTTTTTAGTGACTTAAAACCGGTATTTAACGTCGAGTTGGACGGGCAACTAGGATATTTTCCATCCGCCTGGATTTGTCCGTGTATTTATTTTACTTTTTACTTTACTATATTTTTTAAATTTATTTTATCGTTTTACTTTGTTTTATTTCCTTGCTGACTCTATTTTTTTCTTCACTCTATTTTTTTTTTTTCAAGCACTTCATTTTTTTTCTTTAATTATTTACTTCTTATTCCTTTACTTTGTTTTGTTTTACTGTAATTTATTTTAATACTTCATCATAATTTTTTTGACTTCAGTTAATTATTTAAATTCATTCTATTCTTTAACCTCATTTAGTTTTTTCCCTTATACTTTATTTTTTTCTTCATCTCAGTTTTTTTACTTCATCTCCTTGCTCCCTCTAATGTTTTACTTCAGTTTAGTCTTTGACTTCATTTTATCATTAATTTGATTTACTTCATTTTATTTCTCTTC